TGTGTGTGTGTGTGTGTGTGTGTGTGTGTGTGTGTGTGTGTGTGTGTGTGTGTGCTCGCGTGTGTGCTAGAGGAACAGTTGGACCCCGAGCCTTCTTAATTAGGGCCCAATAACAGTGGACAGGCAAACTTCTTTGCCCTAGTCTGGCCAACTTCCATTGCAGACAGATCTGATGTTTTCATTTAATTGCCCAATTTCTGCCATTAATTCAGAGGAAGAACATCAGGACAGTGGGTGGCCTCCACGTGGTGACTTTATGAGAGGCCACGGACAAGAGTGGCTCAGGATGGGCTGCAATCTGCACGGTTGGAGAGGACTTCCTGAGGATAAGATCCCAGATCTACTGGAGTGTTAGGATTTAAGTGCCTTAAACCGCCTGACCCGGGGCTTGGGTGGGGGTGGGGACACCCGGACCTCCTTGCCCCCATTGTTGTCCTCCTTCCTAAGATTGGCTTTTCCATCTTGTGTCAGCTCCGCACCCCCACCCCCTCACATTCTGGACTTTCTCTTTCAGGTATTGGACGGTCTCTTGGCTCAGTATGGGACAGTCGAGAACGTGGAACAAGGTAATAAAGAACAAGGAACCAAGGCACACGCTCATCATAGTTAGAGGACACTGAGAATTACCCTTTGTGCCCAGGCTGAGTTTGTACCAGGGAGAAATAGTGTTGTTAACCCAAATCACTAAAAAGTGAGTTAAAACTCTGTATGTGTGTAGGAGGGTGCTGTTTGTCTCAGTCATCAAAATACTTCTCTTATTGCTCTGCTGACTTGATGATCACGAGAGGGCGATAGGGTCTTGTCTCCAGGGCCGATGACAAGGGCCAGAAGAGCTGCTGGATCCAGGTCCCTCTCAGTGCTCTGAGAATCTCTCTGTGACTTTTTAGTTACAGAGAAAGGGTCACCCTGCATCAGTAGAGGGAATTTCCTCCACCAGGAGGTCCCACAGGCTCAAGCTTGACCCTTGCTCTGCGTCTCGTCAGTGAATCATGTAGCCAGCTCCAAATGTTGTAAAGAGGAAGCTTCATGGGGATCACATTAGCAAAGGGAATCCCTTGGAAAGATTGTGGACCCCTTTGGCAGTCTGAGGAAGCCTAGGGAGGCCTTCTTAGAACTGTGTTTTTAAATGCATAAAATAAAACGGAGCAGATCCCAAAGGAAGCCAATTATGTTAAAATATAGACATCACAACATTTTAAAATTTAAAAAGAAGGTTCCCAGACCCCAGGTTAAGAACCTCTGGCCTAGCCGGCCTTCAGGGTCCCTTCCAAATCCATGATGCCATGAATCTGGTAATCCTGTTAGCTGTGCTGTTGGTGAATTTTCCAAGGCCATGATGAAATTCTCACATCTTTTCAGAGTAGGCTGAAGGGCCCAATATGTCGCTGTAAGGACCTAGGAATCACCTTGTGCAGGCCTGAGAGTTTGGGCCTAACACGTCCTAATAAAGAGAGCTGGTAACCCTGAGTCATAAGCCCCTTCCATCTAATTGGGGCAGCTTGGAGGCACAACGCATGGAGTACTAGACCCAAGTTCAAATTCGGCCTCAGACGCTTCTAGCTGGGCGACCCTGGGCAAACCACTTAACCTCTGTTTGCCGCGGTTTCCTCATAACTAAAATGTTTCTTGAATCCAGAAATTAGTTCCTAGAGGCATTTAATGCTCTCTGTAATGCCTTTTTAGGTTTGTCTAGTTATTAGGAGGTATGGGGAGGGAAGGATCCCATTATATATTTGATGATGAGAAGGACCTAACAGGTCATATAGTCCTTTTACAGAGAGGAAACTGAGGGTCCAAGGTCACCCAAGCTGTAGGTGGGTAAGCGGCAGAGCCCAGATGAAAGGCAGGTGGTTTGATTCTGAAGCCAGTATTCTTTCCGCTCCATGGAAGGAAAGTGGGTGCCCACCTGTTGGGGAAATGACTGAATAGGTGATGGTGTAGTGATGGATTGGAATGTAAGAAATGGTGGGACACAGGGACCGCAGAGAACCCTGGGAAGACTTTCCTGAACTGATGATGTAGAACCAGGGGAAGGGTCTTCACAGCAACTACAATGCCAACAGAAGGACCCCCCCAAAAAGAAAAGAAGTGGAACACTCAATTGTCTCTAAATAAAGTATAAGAATGTTTCTCCCTCACTTCTTCGTAGGGGTGCAGGGCTGGCAGATGGGGGGAAGCCTTTTTTGTGCCTTCAGACATGGTCATCCTTTGGTTATTTTGCTTACCTGCTCTTGTTTTGTGTTCTTGATTATGAGGGAAGCCTCTTGAAGTAGACAAAAGGGCAGGGGTACGTTCTAAAATGAAGTAAAAAATAAAGAATCCAATAAAATGTTTAATTTAAAAAAAGAATCTTCAGAAACCTGACCATTGTTTGTGACCAGTTGTTACTTCAGATAATTGATGTCAAAGTATGCCTCTCTCCTTTCAGCAGACAAGCGATGGATTATAGGTGCAGAAAGAGGCATACATTTGGGAACCTGTCCAACATGTTGATTTCTTGTGTTTACTTGTTACAAGCACACTTCTTTTGGCAGAGGGAGGTACTGGGAAGTGACAGCGATTTCTTTTTTTAAAAAGCAGCAATAAGATGTTTTCATAGATCAATTTTTAACATTCATTTAAAAATATTTTGAATTCCAAATTCTCCCCCACCTCTTGAGAAGGCAAGCAATATATCAGTTATATATGTGAAGTCTTGCAAAATATATTTCCATATTAGCCATGTTGAAAAAAAAAAGCAAGTAACAAAGGAAATGAGAAAATTATACTTTAGTCTGCATTCAGAATTCATTCTCTCTCTGGAAGGGGGTAGCATTTTTCATCACGGATGCTTTGAATCATTGTCTTGATCTAAGCAGCTAAATCTTTTACAGTTGATCACTGTTACAATATTGCTGTTAATGTATATGATGTTCTCCTGGTTCTGCTCACTTCACTTTGCGTCAGGGCATATAAGTCTTCCCGGGTTTTTTTTGAGCTCATCCCCCTTGCCATTTCTTACAGCACAACAGCATGCCATCACAATTGTATACCACAGTGTGTTCAGCCATTTCCCGATTGGTGGGCATCCCTTCAAAATAATACATATTTTTTTCAAGCAAGAATAGAGCTCTGAACACACTTGAAAGTGTTTGGGAAGAAGGGTCTGCTTGGGAGGCAGCTAGGTGGTGCAGCGAATAGAGCACCGGCCCTGAAGTCAGGAGGACCTGAGTTCAAACCTGGCTTTCGACCAAACGCTTGACTCTTAGTAACTGTGTGACCCTGGGCAAGTCATTTAACCCCAATTGCCTTGGGGGAAAAAAAGGGCCCACTTGAGTAATTTTTACCAGCTTGTCAAAGTTCTTTTTGTCTTGGCTTGCCGACTTGGATTCAGGATTTGCTTACCCTGCTCTTGAGGCTTCTTCTAATATTTAGGAAGAAGAGGAAAAAACAGTCCCGGAGCAAAACAAGGCCGGTCATTAAACATTTCTTAAGAGGGCAGCCAGGATGGGGACACAGCACATAGGGTAGGTGGGAGGTACCCCCCTCCCTATGTTCAGGAGAAGACTCAGGCAGGATGTCATCTCTGCTTGTGAACACTGGAATAGCTCACACAGGGAAGGGGGGTTAGGCTTGTTCCACTTGGCCCCAGAGGGGAGAACCAGTAGCTTTGGGTAGAAGGTGCGAGGAGATGGACGTAGGCTTGGTATCATGAGAAATGTCTGACCCGTTCGAGTCATTCCGAAGTGGAATGAACCGCCTCGGGATCTGGCTTGGTTGGAGGATGGCTAGCTGACCCTGAGGTTCCCTGCCGTTCGGCCGGTATTGGGCGTCCCGCTGCCCCAAGCTGGCCCAAGCTACCTGTCCTCTTCAACGCTTGGGGAGGCGCTGCTGCTGCTGCTCTTCCTGAGCGCGGATTCCCGTGACCTGGCGAGGGGTAGGGTGCTGTCTGCTCCCGTGGAGCTCATGGGTTCTTCTTGCTTTCCCCGTAGTCAACACAGACACAGAGGCTGCCGTTGTCAACGTCACCTATGCCACCCGTGAAGAGGCGCGAGGGTAAGTGCTTTGGGACCCGATTTTAGTTGTTTGAAATGCATGTTTTGTGTCATTTCCAGGCCTTTTCCAGAGACAAATGCTCATAAACCTGTGGAATTCAGCGACCCTCCCTGAGGGCTGTCCTGCAGGGCGCAATGCCGATAATGTTGGTTCACTCGCCTCATGGTCCAGTTGTCCATCATAGAAGTAGCAGTCGTGGAGGGGGGACGTACTCCGGTCTAGCCAGCCCTTGGGGCTTGTCTGCAGCTCGCAGACATCGAAGATCTCTGAGCCACCCTAAGCATAGGGGGCTGATGGGAACAAAGCCTAGCCCTGTGGACGGCCCACACCCAGGCCACTTCTGACTGCTGGGCCCTGGCCAGGGGTGCTCTCTGGGGGCAGGCAGGAGGGTGCCTTTCCCCAAGAGCGTAACCTAAAGTGATTCCAAATCCTGCAGGAACCTCGATCTTGAGTTAGAAGGGCCCGTCAGGGCCCATCTAGTCCAGCCGCCTCATAGGTAAACTGAGGCTCAGACCACTGAAGTGCTTTGCTCAGGGCCATTTCATTTCTGCTTCTGTGCGTTGAGAGATGTGCCTTGGAAAAGCAAGGGTGTTTGAAAGTGAAGTAGATATCATTGTCATCTGATTATCCCCATTCTGAAGAAGAAGAAACTGAGTCTCATGTGTGTATGGTGCGAGCCTGGTAGACTGGAAAGCACTGCCTCTGTTCTCATAGTGCTGCCTGTTTTAGATCTGTCCCCTGGTCAAATGGAACTTCCCTGAGAGCAGGGAGTTTGTGTTTTTGTGCCCAGTACTCACCCCTACTTGTGACTTCATTGCTGCGGGGAGCGTGGGTGAGGCCACTCAGCTGTAACTGAGGCTTAGAGAGTTGCCTGCCTGGGGCACTAAGTGCCTTGCCCAGGGTCACATGGCCTGGGCATCTCAGAGGCGAGACTTGAACCCAGGCCTCCTTGACTTCACAGCCACGTACCGCGGCTCATAGTAGGCACTCTAGCGGTGTTTCTTGGAGCTGATAGACTTGCTTTCCTCCTCTTTTCTGAGGATCACCTGGCGGCTGTCAGTCCAAGGATGCCCAGTTCCATTTTATCATTTATACGAGTGATGTTAAAAACAAAGCATACGACAGAAAACAAACATTTATTTAAAAGCTGAAATGATAAAATATTGGACACACACACACACACACACACACACACACACACACACACACACACA